GCTGTGTCTTCTCTTCTTCAAGCTCCTTATTTTCTGTGTTCTCCCGTTACTCTTCCGTCATACCCTCCCAACCACCAACCCCCCACGCCACCCCCCCGCCCCCCACTTCTCTATACTCTTTTAGATTTCGTAATAAACCTATTCTTTTTAGAGAGTACATAGCTCTATATGCGCAATCTGAGATATTTCTGAAATTCCACACATGATTAGAATAGGACTTCGAAAGTCCTAGGGTTTAACTTTGTCTTGGTAATTTTTCCTATGAAGCTTTCACGAAATATCAGCAAAACCTTATTTTCTTCTTAAATATTATATATGAACGAACTTTAAATTCAAGCTAAACATGAAAAGTTACTCATAATTAAGTGTCTTGTTTCCCGTTACTGTGTGCAGATTGGGCTTTGGTGAGGTGGATGGAGTGCTCGGGGTGACTTGGAGTGGTTCGAAGCGCCGTGGACTTAAGGAAACTTTCGGAATTTTATTCACCTTAAAGCTAAATCAGAGGATTCTGTCCTTTCTTCAGAAACAAGCAGCGTGTTGTTTGTTGACTAATAAAAATACTCGGTTATGATTGGATAGATTAGCGTGAATAGTATTACTATTTCGATTAATAATTTCGAAATGAGTAAACGGGATTAAAAAGAAATTAGAATTAGAATTAGTACACTGGTGTAAAGAGAAACACGATTGAATTGTTTTAACTCGATCGAACATCTTCAGGTGGTGTACTTTACCACGCGGGGTGGCTGGAATGCCGGAGTGCACTTCCGAAAGTTTTGTGATGGCGATGTGGGTGGTATTTTTATTGTTCCCAAAATGTTTTTATTGATTAAAAAATAGGAAAAAAGCGTTTTCGTTATCGTACGCTGTCATCTTTTGACTACCGTTCTTTTCTAAAATCATTATCCTATCAGTACAAACGCCTGAGCTATTTGTATGACAAGATGGCCCTGCTGATATGAAGTACATTCGGTTAGATATTCAGAAAATGCATTGATTTTGTATTGAAATCAAACGAAAAAATAATGCACGTATATTAATAATGTTTTAAGTGTTTTTCTTTTCCAATTTTATATTTTGACGTCATGTGGAAAAACATGAGTGTATTCGGCCCAAGATATGTGATATAGACGTTTTTTAATATGTTAGATGGAAGTGGAGGAAATGGGCTACAAAATGATACAAATTCAATGAGAAAAATTTGAGTTACGTTAAAGAAAAGATGTACACAAGTTTCATATACACTATGTCACACTCCGTTAATCATTCTCAAATTGATAAAAAGTTATGAATATTACGTCATACATACTTATCAATAATGTATTATGACAGAGGATCCTTGAAAATAATCATTAAACATCTATAATATGTTTAATATAGATGTATATAATATAACCAATGATCAATATAAACTTATTGAATTTTTGATGATCGGATAGTGTGCTTATTTTGATGGTGTGTGGCGATCATCAAATTTAATTCTAAATGAAAAATAAGTTAAATATTAAAACAGTTAAGACATTTTAATTTAACAATTTTGGGTTTTTCCCTACAGTATGCGAAAAGAATACGTCTTGATTAGTGAAAACATAATTGTAACATACAAGTGAATTTACCATTGTTGTTGATTCCACAATAACACATAAAATATAAATCTGCATTATTTCGTTAATCATTAATAGTGAGATTTCTGCAAAAGTCTCAATATAATACAATTTTATAATATATTCTTTTTTTCAGATATAAAAAATGCCCTTTTTCTCTGAAACCTATCATGCAATATTAGCTCGTTCTCAAGCTCATTTTGAAAAGAAGAGGCAATCTAGAAGAACAAAAAGTAAGCGCGATCTTCCTTTCTTTTAATAGTACATATAGAATGAGATGAAATTTTAGTTGTACCAGTAGCAACAAGTATACGTTGTTATCCAGGACGTTATGGTCCTGGAGTAGAATTAATTGAATCAATTCACGACTTGATGGAAGATTGTAATTTAAAAGCAACATTTATCATGACCTGTATTGGTAACATTAAATCATATATCATAAAAATATTCAATACACTGGAACATAAATCGGTTAATTCAATCTGTGATATTGTTTCATTAGTCGGTACGTTTGATTCTGAAGGTGGTCATCATGTTTATGGAAGTTTTGCTGATGCGAAAGGCAATATCATTAGTGGGCAAATTGAATCGTTAATTGTTCATCAGACTGTAGAAATTCTCTTAGCTGAATGTAATGATGCTATATTCACAAGAGAACGTGATGCAAGAACTGGGGAAAACGAACTAGTCATAAAACGAAAAGCATTTACAGAACAAGACTAATCATTTATGCACATTTTTGAGAAAAACATTTGATAATCAAGAAGTACTTACTGTTAAATTTACTTTATGCTTAATTGTGCTATTTCTTTATAGCTTCTCGTTTTGCTTTTCTAGGCTAAGCCAGAATAACCTTATGTACATTTTCGCCAGTAAAGAGATGAATTTTATACTGACAATGAATATTTTGGGCTCATCTTGGCTCTACTCCCAGGCATAGAAGTTAATACGGCTAATGGCCACAAAATGGATGTTATAGTGTATTATTGATTGGTGATTATAATGGGCCCCTGTATGTAGTGAAGAGTTTTATCTACCAAATAGAACTTCTAAATGGTTACTAGTTCATTTAAAGTGATTTTGAGATTTAGCCCTCCGTTATCGTCCTCATTTTATAACTTCAACAGTGTCCTAGGGTCCCGCAACGATCCATCCCATAAAATTACAAAAAAATGATGGTTTTGCTTTACATAGGGTATTCAATTATATACCATAAGTCTCCAAATACTCTTCTTTATATAGACTTATTTATCAGTTCTTATTGAGGCAATAT